AGAAGAGATGAATATTTATAGAGCAAAGAAGACACATCAGTCACTTTCGGTTGAGTAAGTTCGGTCGATCGAAAGTGTGATATAGACGTTGCAAAAATCAAACCGTTGGAGTTTCGATTGTGTTTCGATTGTATTTCGATCGGTCAATCTAGTCGACCGAAACATACTTCGGTTGACAGAAGTGTCAAACTCGGTGAGATGCAAAATTCGGTAATTTATGTAAATACGAAAAGCAACCTATTTCGGTCCATCGGTGTGTATTTCGGTCAACCGAAGTATCCAAGTTTTGGAATTTGTATTTATATCAAAATCTTCATTTTTCCAAAATCATTTTTATATCAAAAAAATATTTTTTATGCAATTGATGAATTTATGATAAATGGTTTGAGCTTTTATGCATTTGCTAAAATTGATAAGTTATACCTTTACATATAAATCGAAACAGCAATATTCTAATTCTTCAAAGTTCTTGATCTCTTTGAATCTTTTTTAATTGTTTTTTCTTCAACGGATGACAATTTGTGCCTTTAAGTGTTTAGGAAGTATTATACATGAAAAACTTAAGAAACTAGATATGTTAGAAATATAAATATATTGTTTGTTATAATCAAAAAAAGTAGAGCTAATCATAGGTCAACATTCACTTTTTTAACTACACTTTTTTTGCATTGCACGAATGTTTAATAAATATAGAACTATGCCAATTTTTGTTAATATAATCTTTTCTATGGAGTTAAATTTTGAAAATATTGTGAGTTGCCCTATTTATTTCTTTTAGATCAAGTGTTAGATCATCGAGTTAATTCAACTAACACAAAATCTATTATAAAGGGGATTTCAAATTACATGAATGTGGAATTATTACTTGCACATATTGAATCTTCATTATGTGAAATATATAACTATTATGCTAAAAAAAAGGACGTCCCGACAATTATAGTTCGTAAAGTACCTTTTACTATTAGCAGCAGCATGATCGCATTCAACATCGGCGATTGGCATCGCTGTATCAGCACCTATCGCCACAAGTCGCGAAGCAGCAGTGCTACGAGTCGACCCGTTTTCAACCCAATTTTGACCAATTTTTTTTATCGCTAAGAATAAGAAATCAACAATCAACTTTTGATTATTTTCAAGATTCAAGATAATATATAAACAATCAACTTTTGATTGTTTAAACATACAAAGCAGTTTCTAACAAGCAGAAAGTAGGCTCTGATGCCATTGTTGAAAATTTACTTAGTCAAGCATAGAGAAAAATAAAACAAATTTCAACTCCCACCAAATATTTGCTTTGTGTTTAGATGAAAATTCAATTAAATAATAAATTTTGTCATTAATGAAATACATCAATTATATATTTAAAGTATTTATATCCAAAGTTGATTGGATTTATGGCATAACACTTAAATCACTCCCCGTTGTCAAAAACTTTGACACTTCTTATCATTTACTTCCATAAGAATTAGGAAATAATCACAAATGATAAACACGGTAAGCAATGAAATTGACAAGAAGAGAAGACACTCTTATATATTACATGACAAACAACAATATATATTACATGACAAACGACAATATGATATCTAGAACATAATAAAAAGGTTTGAATTCCAGACAACCATCAAACTTTTTAAATTGCTTTTCTCATTGTTCTGTCTTTCAAATGGTTGTGGGACG